TTTTATATTTAAAATGAGATGTTTATCATGTATTTGATTATGTTTATCTGCAGTTAGTTACACGAATTCAAATACGGAGCTTTAATAAGTTGTACTTACGCACAATCTACTTGTAATCTTGAGTTTTAAATAATATGCATTAATAAACAGTACTTTACGCATAAAAAATTGTATCTAAAAGATTTTGTTAAATGCTTTGTAATATAGTATAGATATGCTTTTTGTTAACTAAGGGTGTCTGTATCAGTTTGCAAACACCTCGACTAATCTTAAGGGTCCTTAAGAACAATGAGGAAAATTTGTTGGTCTATATTTTCATGCCAGTTGTTTGGGTTTAGGGTTCTAACGAGCCAAGTTTAGCACAAATTTGAGTCGACAGTTAACAATGTTAGGTTGAACTCACAGACATATTTTTTTTTCAAATACTGATATCATTTGACTGTCAAAAACAAAGTTATACATATTTTTCACAAAATCATTATATATTTGTTGGTTGGTTTCTTGTTGGCTAAAAGCAAGGTACGGTATTTGAGACTTTATATATATCTTCTTATCCCAAATTTACAAATAAAAAAATAAACCCAAAGTTAAAGGTAAAAACGATGAAATTGGCTAACATGTGATTTGAACCCGTGCTTGGAAGGAGAAAAAGCCACACAAACCAAATATGCCACAGAAAATTTGTGTCGTTATCGTAAGAAATATGAGGACCCTTGATAAAACTACATGGTAGCGTAGCACCCTCGTAATTTTTTTTTTCCTATTATTACGGGACCATAAAAAGCTGACACTTGCCACTGTATACCCCTCTTACCAAAAACGTCTTGATTAATAAACTCAAAGCCAAAACCCTAAACCAAAATTTGACACAAGAACATACGTATACATAACGATAAAAATCAATCACACTTGGTTCGTTATATACATCAAGCTCATGTTTTTGCTTGAACTCGATAAAATTCAACTCGATGTGCTCTGAACATCTAATTTGAAGCCATACTGGTTGATCCTTCCGTAGAGCATTGAGATTTTTTCGAAATGTATAATATTTTATATACTACAAAACTCTGCACTTTTACTTCTCACTTGAATCTTTGACTTTAGAAAAGCTTACGCTCTACTAAGTTTTTAAATAATGTGAAACGTGGCGCAGTAGCAAGATCAAGCCTTAGGTCTTAGGAACCACGGCGAAACCACCGTGTCTTCAAGGTGTGACTTATAGCAACAAATATATATATCATATGAATATAATCATATATGTGCATGTTTTTACTCTTATTCAATAAGTCAATAATATTAGAAAATTTAAATTAGATTAATATACCAACAATTAAAATGTAAAATAAAAAAAGAAGCAAATATGACGTTACAAATTCCATGTACGACGGAAGACTCAAGCCTTAATACTTGACAGACCAAGTTTGACAGCACATGAGCTATTCTTTTAGGGTGGGTTTGGTATCCAGATAGAATATGATAGAACAAGATAAAATAACTGTTCAACATTTGGTAAAACAAACATGGACATGCCAGAACAGATATAAAAAAACCCTATCAAACGTAAAATAGTGGCCTCTATTCTATTTTGTGGTATTGGGCCATACTAGCAACATCCGTTGGATATTGAGAAAATTTTGTTGAGGTGATTGCGATTTGTGAGGTTGATTTTGTTACCTAGGGAGAAGCATAAAATGTTAAACAGAGGGATATGGACTATTCCAATGTAAAGTCACAATCACACCTGTGTTCTTCCTACTTGTACCTCATGCATCATGAGTTGTACCTTATGTACCTCTTTCTCCCAGCCAAAGCATACTAAAAATTTAATTTAAAAAAATGTATTATTTTATGACCCTATGGCTATGCTATGATGGACCCTGTCACACTGCTACCCCTTCTGCACAAACACCCCTCTGTTCTTCCATCAGGAATTTTCAACTTCATCTAATATTTTTTACCAACACTCCTCCTACTTTCATCATTTTTTCCAAACTAACCCCTTTCTTTCTTTCTTTTTCCATGTTCAGTCCCTCAACTTTCTAAGAGATCCAAACTCCAAATCATTCATATAATTCATACAAGACAATAATATCATCATTACTTGACTACAAGAAGACAATGGTTCTCAAATCACACACATCCATCAAATACAAAGAAAAAGAGCAGTAGTTGTTGAAAACAAAGGGGGTTTCCTATAACCAACATATATTAGAAGTAGAAACTTGCAGCCAGACATTTTTCTCTTACTTACTATTTCATTTCATAGACTTCTTTCCCATATCAAAACATAACAACAAGGCAGCAAAACCTAACTGCAAGTCGGTCGGTTGGTTTCCGGAGAACTATGCAGTTATTTTCCTCTGCCACAAGAAGCTAATTTCGGTTCTTTGATTTTTCCATGGCCCTTGGAGCTGTGCATCACAATTAAACACACCGATTTATATCTCTATTCTATCGAATGGTATTTGGTAATTTGACACTGAACTACAAACCAAACGAGACAAGTATATATGCCACCCAGAGGGTGGGGATTGGGGATAAGATATATACAGACCTGACGTAAAACAGTAAAAAGAAACTTTAAATAGAATGCATACCTAAACCAATAGCATCAGAGCCCTTCATAATTTTCAGCCTCTTGCAAGAACCGATAAACATACTGTAACAAGGATGATGAAATTACAAATCAACAAAATAGTATAATTAGAATCGGAGTTGATCCTCAAAAGTTGAAAAACTGAATCACTGAAAACGGGTAGTCAAATTAACTATCACAAAAAGTCGATAATAGAACAGTATCTGAATTATTGGCATATCCCAGCTTTCTTGGAGCTCAAGGGTTCAAACCTCACGATTGTGTGGGTCAGTTTGCCGTTTATAAACATTTTTAAATAATAATAAAGAAAGCTTAAAGAGCAAGTAAATTAGCTATCAGAATTCAGAAGCATTAGTATAAGCTGTACAGGAAGACTTCATATCTATCTACCCTTTTCCTTGTACATCAAATAGGAAAATGAAGTTCCACATTTAATTGTCACAGATTGTATACATGACTTGTATGCATCAAACAGGAGAACATGTCAAGTACTCTGACTGACAATCATCTCAAGAACCAAGCAAAACAAAAACGGAGGCAATATATAAATACAATTGAATATGGAGTACCCAAATTCAGATTAGATGGATCATAAGAATATTGTATATTTGGTATAATCAACACCTGTATTTGATTTGTCAGAGATAATTCTTTAAGTTAAGCAAGGCTTTTGGGAATAATTAATTAATATATAACTTTATATACAATTCTTTAACAGGCCAAAATATATAGCAAATATGATATTGGTTTACGGTTAATATGATTTTAGATGATTTTGTTGTTTGGATGCTTCTATTTCGTCTGCCATTTCCATTTCAATTTCCTCGACTGTTGATTAGAATATAAGAGGACTGGTTAATGAAAACGAACTAAAATATACAAAACAACTCCAAACTGCAAAAACTCACACTCCAATTTTATTACAAATTGGGAACTAATTTTTCCAGTTCACCACTGCATTGATAAAACAAAGTAAACGAGTATTTTCGTCATGTTTTAGAACAGTTAATGATACAAACCAAAACAACAAGGTATATCTATTAAACCCATTAAAAAAAAATTAAGATGACGTTAACAGCTAACTCTGAATATCCTAAAGGTTTGGTTTGTTTCCAGTTATAATCCTTTATCATGCAATGTGACTGGCAAGATTAAAAAGCAAAAATGTCAACAGCAATAAAACATATCTTTAAGCGGGCAAATTATTAGTCTTTGAACCTAAATAAATTAAAAAATCCAACACTTCTTATGAAACTCAAAAAATACCAAACATTCCCTCAAAAAGATTATCATCTGTGGTGGTATGTTCTATGGTTTTAGGGTTTACAGGAATTTTAGTATGTGTGTTTGTCAGATTACTTTATATGTAATGTTATACAGAATTCGAATTCGTATCTTGTGAATTGATGAATCAAAGATTTTGCTGAATTGAGTATTAACTATTGGAATCCAGGATTGACATGTTTTGGATTTTCTTTCTTTTTATTAAACATGGATGTCAGGGCCAGCTTGTTCACCTCGACATACCCCATGGGGACTTGGAGATCAGCCAGGAAAACCCACAATGACCTTGGAGGGACTAACCAGAGACCTATGTGGAAAAGCCCGGAAGGCCCAAGCCTTATACAGACCCCTTATACAGAGCTTACACTCATCCTACTCTAGATAGGCATAGGCTGCTACCATCATGTTTGGTCATGCATTAGCCGGGCTCCATCACGTGAAAACGGCAAAAAGATATAGCATTGTTAAGCCAAATACTTGAGTTGGGTGGCCTTATAATTACCGAAAAGTTAAAAATTGACGTAACGTAAGTGAAGAAATAGGGTTGTTTGATACTTACTCCCAGGGAACATCTCCAACGAGCATCCAGTCACCATCCTTATCCTCATATGTAAGCACATACTCTGAACCATGCAAGAGATCCCTCAACTTGCTCTCACTGAGACTTTCCCTTCCTGGAGCACCTTGTGATCCGCACTGACCTACATTGTGAAGATGAAAAAGTAAGCCCTTGAAACAAAGGGCCTTTGGCCCCCCAAGAGGTCAGGGGTTCAACCCTCACCAAAAGGTGAGGAGGGTGTGTGAGTTCTTGCATTTGCCGTATATAAATAATATATACTTCAATATAAAAACACAACAGCAACACAACAGAAGTCCTTAAACCGACATCCATAATGCTAGTTATGATAGTAAAGTGCAAATGCAGGTTTAATACAAAAACAACTCACCAATAGTGAAACAGCTAAACATTTTCTCTAGGGCTAACGAAAGTTCTTGGTAAGTGGTGTAACTCCTTAGATCAACTTTCCTCAGATAAGGAGCCCCATCCATGCTAACCTTGACAAATAGAGCACCAGGACCAGGTTTTCCATCCACTTCGTCATTGTTCTTTGAATTTGTAGCAAGGATGTTCTTGCGAAAAGATCTAACTGGAGGCCAACCAACTACCTGTGCCCTGCAAAGAAGATTGGCAGCAAGCCAAATGAAATCATCAATATCAACAAAAAGGTTGGAAATAAGTATCAAATTTTCCTCCTTCCCAGCTGCTACTGCAGCCACCTTCTAAGCACAGTTTATTTAACTAAAAAAAACCTTCTGACATATTTTTTTAAACCAGAACCTGATGACAGGTTTCCGGGCATTCTTGTATTCGGCAGAGGCGTCCTCAAAACTTATTAGAAGGTCATGGATTTAAAAAAACTGACAAAAGATTATTAAGCTAAATACCCCTTCTAAGCACATACAAGAAAATGGATTTCTCAATTGCACTTACTTGGCAGCAGGAGGATTAGAACTGTTCACTTTGTTAAGACTAGTCCCATATGTTGCATGAGCTTGTTCCGGTGCCATCTTAGATGTTGCATCTTTAATAGAAGCAGGCTGAGCTCCTGATGATATCATACCATTTACATTTGCATTGCTAGCAAATTTTCCTTGGACCAAAGATTTTGAAGCATCAGAATCGGTCCCAGACGAACCAAACATCCAATTCCCTTCAGAAAACCCTTTGGTTTCTGAGTAACCATCAATGGTGTCGGAGAATCCTCGTTTATTTCCAGAAACAACAATTTTCTGTGAAGCTGAGCAAATTCCATCCTTGGAAGGAAGCAACGGAAATAAGGGTTTCTCATCAAGACTCTCAGAGGTTGCCAGATTAACTTCTGGGTCCCGCTCAGGGGATTGAGATCCTGGAAGACCAAGCCTCAATTCAGTAGCTTTAAGGTTTAGATTGTTTCTTTTCACCTCTGAGATGCTGGAAACAGCAGAGCTATCCACCGAGGAACAGTCTGATAATCCCAGATAATTTCGCTCCGTTAATCCAGGGCTCTTTTGAAAAATCGATTCCATAGAGGAAGCTGAATTCAGTAAGGAGACGGTTCCCTGTCCATCCCCTTCAACACCTAAGAGCGGCGGAGACATCAGATCCAAGACTTCTAGATTTCTTGTTAATCTGTTTGAATAAGAACCGTCAATATAATAAATTACCTACCAAAAACACACTGATATAATATTGACTGGAAAGCATATAGCATGATCCAGGAGGAGGTCAGGGATTACAAAAGCACTTTTAACATTTGTTTTTGTTCAGCTTATTAGTTCTACAAATTGGAGCTTTTTCAAGGCTGGGATCTGGATTTTGGTCTTGTTTGAGTGATGTCCGTGTGGATTATTTTTTTCTTTTCAAAATCCTATTGCTATTTTTCAATAAAGTATGAATGTGTGTTTATGTTGCTGTTTGCTATATAATTATTAGGTGTGGATTAGCTTTTGTTGATTTTTTTTGTTGTCTAGAGCTGCATGCATGAAGTAAAAGCTATGGATAGCAGATTATTTTCTGTTCATTTATTTTTAAATTTCCATCTGAACCCGGAATAACTTAAAGAAATCTTCACCCATTAAGTGTTTTGGATATAAGCGAGTTAAATTGATCGTACTGATTCCACTATAATAAAACCTCAGACATCTGCCTATTCTTATAAAAATAGCAACGATGCTTACAGGTTACAAGTGATTTCAGAAGGAGCCTGAAATATTGGGATTATCAAACAGCTAATGTAACAATGAAATGCTTTTCGTGTGTGATTGTGTGACTAGGCCAGTAACTTTTACTTTTGAGAGCCAGCGATCATACACGCATCAAAAGCTTGGTCAAAATGTAATTAACAAGCCCAAAAAGAAAAGGAATTAAAAGATATCCTGGTAAATTCTATATCGGACCTCCGGAAAAAGCAAGGGATCGATAAGAAAACGAAAATTCTTAAAAAATCCTTAGTATGCATATGAATATCCCCAAAAATAAAGCTGTCAGTTGACTAACATCAACAGCTAAAAACCACTCCGCGAGATCAGCATGCGCCTTGAGAATCACATATCGAAGCCCTAATTCATAAAATTATGCTCAATTACATGACCGAAAAGAAAACGATTTCAAGATCAATCCTCCAAAAAAGCAAACCAAAAGACATCTTCTCCTTCAATTTGTTAAAAGACCGGAAACGATATCTAGATAGACAGAAAACCTCCAACACTATATCTTCTCACTTACATCCACAACAAAAACTAGAAGCAAAATTTCATAAAAATAAACAGAAAATTCGAACTTAAAAGTAAAACTATAATGCTCTATCCAATCTGCTATCCATCGCCTTTTACCTCATGCAAGCAGCTCTAGACCTCAAAAGCAAATCCACACCCAAAAAAAATGTATACATCAACCAGCAACATAAACACATTCATATTTTATTGAAAAACAGCTATAGGATTTTGAAAAAAACCACACGGACATCACTGGAAGTAAACCAAAATCCAGATCTCAGCCTTGAAAAACTCCGATTTGAAGAACTACTAAGCTGAAAACTAAAAAAAACGATGGTTGAACAAAATTCGAAGCACATACCTAAAATCGATGGAAAATTATCAGTCAAACAACACCGGAGAAACGAAGATCGGATTGACAACAATAATCTTCGAAGGAAGAAGTCCAATTAAGCGCAGAAGAAACTAGATGAGGAGAGAGAAATATAATTTGAGAGAGAGAGAGAGAGAGGATTTTAAGGTCCCTCCATTAAGCAGAAAGCAAACAAAAGGTCTGTGAGCTGTGTGCCGTGAAAGTCGGATTTTATGTAATAAATTGAGTACAAAATAAAGAAAGTGAAAAGGTGTTTGTTTTATAGGGGGTAAAGTGTAAATTTTAGAGAAAAAAGAATAACTTTAAACTTTCATCCTTGAAATACAATTTTTTGCATTAGGAATATATTTAAAAATAATTATTTTTTTGCAAATTTTATAAAAAAAAAGTTATTAAGTATTTGAAAAAAAATTGACTATCGTTAACCTTAATTAATTTCACATGGAACCCGTCTCCAAAGATACTAATGTATGAAGTTACTTTTAGCTATCGGAACATCTTCAACAGATTCTAAAATATGTCTTCAACAGGGACATTACAATCCTTTTGGATGCTCTCCTACATCCAAAACTTTTGATTACATTGCATAAATGAGATAAAATTGAATATCTGTTAAGAACAAAAATTGGTTAAACCTAAAACAATTAACAATCTAAAACTAAACTTAAACCATTAATGATTTGAACCTAAAACTAAACAGTTAATTGTTTGAATCTAAATAATTTCGGCTATAGTTTTACACAAATCGATAAAAAAAGACTCTGATCACATGTAAATTTGGGTCCCAAAATTCTAGAAGTCATGTTCAAAATCTCACATTTAACATACTAAAAGACGATCCTGGTCTTCAAGATTGAAAACCAAAAGCTAAAATCTCTAAAAAAAATTATATTCATCTCTAACAAATTTTTCATTTTAGAAAAATCCAACATTGATTATACTAGAAGCTTCATAACATTTCATCTATTTAGGTTAAACAACCATATTATTATTATTATTATTATTATTAACCTGGATATCCAACCCGCTATTCGAGCCGACTAATTCCATGATGATCACCTGCTTTGCAGATAGCCCGGAATCACCGCATTTGAACCTCCGTTACCACAAAAAGATTTTTATTTATACTTAGATTTGAACCTAGAACCCTTTTGTTACTCTTGACCATATTGTTTTATTGAATTTATATTAAAATAATGTGCATATCTTCTAATCAATACATTGCTTTCATAATCACAAGCTTACTTGCCATATTTACATGATGTTACAAGTGGGTTTTTTAAACATTATTTTATTAATAGCTTTAAAACAACAATTATTAGTTTCATTATAATTTACCAAATATGTTTGTTGTTGTTATATATTCATATTTTATTTTGTTTTCATTATATAAGTTTTTTTTCTATTTTTGTTAAATTATTATAAAATTAATTAAATAATGTAACTTATTAAATAAACATTTATTAGCCACCACAACTCAATGTTTAATTAAATGTTATTGTTATTATATATTGTAATCATTTGTATTTGGTCACTAAGCATATATTAATACCCCCAACATCATTATTAACAACCACATACTAGTTTTTCTTATCCACTACTTGCATTACATATATATATATTATATATATATATATATATATATATGAGATACTTGTATTATATATATACTCTAGGTTTAAATTAAGGCGTTGCTAAAAAATTTGTGGTTGTGGAGGTTCACATGTGATGACTCCAGGTCACTGGTAATCATCCGGGAAACTAATCAGTACGTGTAAACTGATCCAGAAACCCAAGGTTACAAAAAGAACTTATATTTTAAGTGTATATTATTATTATTATGCAAGATCTAAAACCAGTTGAAATGTATATAATAACAGCTGACAATTTACTTAAAATAATACTAGGTATTCACTTCTTAAGAGTATTTTAGGCGTTTTTAAGTAGGTATGTGATTGTACATATACAAAAAAAGAGCGTTTAAGAAGACGATGCATTCATGCATGAATGGTTTGCTTATAACGTACATATAAATAGTTGTCACCCAAGTTATGTACTTAATTGTTTTCGATAGGATTTTTGTGATAAATTTGTTAAAACACATCGAATAAGTCTGATTTGGATAGATGCATCATTTATTAACTAATCGGTCTAAATGAATTTCGTTAATAATACTGGACCTCAACTTATTTTCGTTTCTTTACATGGGAATTTTTTTAGGCAGGGTTATAAAAAATACAATGTTTTTATATATTATTGTGAATTTGTAAATTCGTCTATTATCAAATATTGTAATGGAAAATCTCATATATCTCAGGTTTGAATTTGTGCGCTGTTAAGATCCTTGTAATCATTAAAATTCACCTGCAATGACTCTACTCCAGACCATTTATGGTTACTCGTAGAATTATTTTGTACACATAATTTTGTACACATAAGCTGGTCTAGAATATTACGTTGTCCAAATACTATAAGTGATTGATGAAATCAATGATAGTTCATATGTTTTCTAAATTTGTCTTGAAAAGCTTAGTAGTTGGATACTTTTTATTAAATTATATATGGAATTAAATATTGTATTTTTTAAAATTATTGTGGGGGGTAAAAAGGTCAATAGACATACAAGTATCATGATAATAGGCACGAGAATGGGGAGACAAAGTGTGATGCTCAAGATTTTGCAGAAAAACGATAATTACGAAATCAAGCAAAATTTGATTATGTTTAGCCAAAAATGTCATAATTCAACAACTCCACTCAAATTGACCCTCAACTTTCATTAATTGACAAAACATACCCCTGGAGTTCACCCGTCAATATCCACACGTGCCAACATTCACGTGTCACCACAACCGGCATTTCATCCCTTTTAAAAACCAAGTGGGTCCACCTCGTTCCCTATAAGGGCAAACGTGGTAATTGAAAAAGATACCCCCCCTTATGCACATTCTAACACATGGACCATTTCAAATATATGTTTAAAAATAAATTATAATAAATATTTTATTTATTTTTAATTTAGTAATTGAATTACTAATAATCATTACTAGAGTTAATACATTTTCGAAATTGATTGTAATGATTGATTATCATGACAAAAAAAGCCAATAATATATTCTGATAAATTGTAATATTGTATAATTAAGTCTTATCATGTCTCACTGTCATATTATGTGAAATATGAAACAAGAAGTTTTTGTTATGTCGTATCATATTTAATCCAGTATGAAACACATTTTTAAGGTGTGTTTGGTATACTGAATAGAACATAATAGAATATGGATCAATGATTTATGTTTGCATGACTTTTATGTGGAACAAAGTGAAACAGATGTATTTCACCCTCACTTGAAACAAGGTGAAACAAACATATATTTTACAAAAAATATTATCAAAGTAAAACATAATTTTATTCTAATACATCAAATACACACACACACATATAGGTACTCGCGTAATGCAGCGAGATGCATATTGATTTTAATGTTTCGTTTTATATTTTGGGTCTATCAATGTTATGATGCTATGTGGTTCTGAGAAAAAGAAAATGTTTTTTATTTTTGAATGAACTATGAATTTGAAGATATCATAAAATTTTGAAAAAAAATAAGTGACATTAGTATTGAATTAACTATTTAAAAGTTCTCGTTTTTACGTAATTTATTTGAATCAAATTTTTATTGTAATTTAATTAAAATTTAAAAACGAATTAATTTATATTTGGTTTAATAATATAATTTTTTAATTTTTCATGTTGATTCAAATAATTTTTCAAATAGATTTCAATGTTATCATCAACAATTATATGCAAATCGAATTTATGCAGGTAGGAAAAAAACGATTTGTCATGGAGGTGAACATGGAGTTGGATGTGTTTATCAATTTTTAAGGGTCCATTTGGTTTGTACGAGTTGAATGGATTTGAAGGGATTTGGATTTTAAATCCATTTCAATCTCGTGTTTGGTTTGTAAGATTGTCCGGATTTTAAATTCTTTATCTGATGGATTTGGAAATTCTTAGGGGGCATTTGTTTTGATGAAATGGTTTTGAGGGATTTAGATTTCATAGAAGAATTTGAAATTGGAGTTATTTGGATTTGGAAGAATTTATTAGAATCTTTGGTTTGAAAGATTTGGAATGAAATGGAATTTCAATTTTTATAAATAATTATGAAAATAATTAAATTGCTTTTTTATTAATGAAATGTTAGAAAATAAATATTCTTAACATATTTTAAAACATTATTATACAAATCATGCGAAATCCCGTGAAATCTCAACCACTCTGAAGGATTTCAAAATCCTAAAGGGATTTTAACAGAATCCTATGATTTCAAATCTAGACAATCATGCATACCAAACACATGATTAGAATGGATTTTAAATCTAAATTCCCCCAATTCTATTATATTCATGCAAACTAAACGTACCCTTAGGAGAGGGTTGGTATTTCAAATCCCGATCTGGACGGATTTCATAAAAAGTACATCGCTTCTTTAACATGTGTATACGTGGAGATCTCTAGCTCTTCTAAATATATGGCTTTTTTCCCGATGAAATTTCTGCCGGTAAATTATCGATGGATCATCCGTGAACATGAAAAAGTCAGCTGGACTTCTGCTACTAATTATTGAAAGAAGATGAATTTTTCCCACAAATAGGTAAGTATATTGAAAAGTAACTAATTTTAATTAACCAAATTATCAACGGAACTTGATTAATTATTTTTAATTAAAATCTGTCTAATCCGTTGGTAATTTTAATCAACCAAAATAATTATTTATGTTTTAATTTAAAAAAAAACAAGAGTTTGGTATTACTGGCGGATTATCGGGGACACCCCCATCCGCGGGTAATACCAAAAAATGTTTCATTATTAAAAAAATGATTTTGGTATTACTAGTGGATTGGGGTGTCCGCTAATAATATCAAAATCATGTTTTTTTTAATAATGAAACATTTTTTGGTATTGCCGGTGGATGGGGTGTTCGTCGGTAATACCAAAATCATGTTTTTTTTGTTTCTTTTTAATAAACATCTTTTCAATAAATTATCGGCGGTAACCCCCATCCTCTGGAAACTATATTTCTATAATTTTTATATATATTTATTTTTTGCTTCCTCATCCGCCGGTGGTTGGATATACAGTTTTTGAAATACCAATAACAA